CATATGTTCAGCACTCTACAACTGGGGCTCTACAGCTATTTTAAATGTGCTGTGAGGCACAGATGAAATGAGAAGCTATCCGACTGAGGAGCACCCAGTGGAGGCAGAAAAGATGGAGGAGCTGCTGCTAACAGAGAAGGGGAGGGTTAGCAGTGGAGATGTGGACAGGGCCAGAAAGAACATTTAAAAAATCCAGATAAATGACAGAAAAAGAAGGTGTGGAGACAGACTGTTAGCTATTTTAGAGGCATGAGAGGTTTTTCATCGATAAAAACTTTTTGTAATGTACAATTAGTGGCAGTTGGGTGAATATTTAGAAGACTTAAACCTATTTGATTTTGATTTTACAAAGATCTTTGTCAATTCTTGCAACTTCAAGTGAAGTCGGCCTCCTTCATTTTAAATGACTTTTTTCGGGGGCTAACAAACAGCAATTGAAATTGCTGTCTGAGAATTGTCATTGACTTTGTTTTTGGTCTTTGATCCATGTCTACTTCATCACCTGCCCTGCTATCAACAATGATGGCAGACAGATACATGCCCTGGACTTGAAAGACAGGCTCAAGATTTGATACAACACTGCAGCACATGAGAGGATTTGGTCTTTCCGTCAGGATTAGATGTTAAGCCAGGTAGTTTCACAAAAGAATTCACGCTCATGAAAATATCTTGTCATGAATGATTAATGGTCATGATTCATGACAACGAAAAATACATTTATTAAAATTGTCTTTAGAGATTAGCTGCTTTCATTCTCCTCAAAAACAAATTTTTCATCCAGTATGGACAGACACAAACCCTGGACAACTCAGAGTTGATGTAACACTTTAGTGTACTGAGTACATCCACAATTCCCTCTTCTTCTTGGGGTCATTTTACTATTAAACCACTAAGTCAAATGTTAGAGCAATATATTCAACTTCAGAGACCATTATAAGTAAAGATGAGCTGAGGTTTAACGAACTGCAAAAAAAATATGCCTGAGAATCTGGAAGTGATTCCAGAGTAATTTCATCGGCATTGAAAAGCAAAGAAATTATATGTGCCATTATCCGAATCGAATGGTTAAAAGAATGAAAAGAATTCGGAACCACTTCAAAGAAGATAGGGACTACTTTATCAACCCTGCATCTCTGATGATGTGGGGGTGCATTAGTGCCTATAGAGCTGGCTGTTGTCACATATGGAAAAGTAGCATCAGTTTATATGATAGGTTTAAAGAGCTTTCATCTATTTACTCACCCAGTCTGGTCCTTTTTTTGTAGCACTTTTTTTGTGTTTACTTTGAATGCATCCAGCTCAGGGTTATCAGACAGCATTCTTCTCCAGTGGTTCAGGAATCGGTTCCCTCTTAAATGACTGCTGTTATAACATGGCCTATATTTTACTGTGACAAAGAGGTTTGAATATCATTGCATTTTTATTTGCATCTTACACAGCAAGCCATTTTATAGTGTAACTTCTCTTAAACATATTGAATTCAGTACCTTAAAAAACTTTTAGAAACCATTTCACCTCCTGAATCAAAATGTTTTCCAGTGAGAAAATGTAGTGAAAAGGGCATTTTTATTTTTTAGGCAGCGCTTAATTTATGGCCTCTGCTAGCAACATGTCAGACAATCAATGGTAGAATTGATGCGATACACGGTGAGGCGCATTACGATTTATTTTTTTTGTTTTTTGAGATGAACTTTTATTCATAGACGCTGTCCTTGTTAACGCTGTCAAAAAATATTCCAGCATAATAACAGTCGCGCGTTTCTGTTTCGACTGTGTGGCCTTCAGCTGGAGAACAGCCACGCTGAATGTGTGCAGCATCTGCAGGAGGGACACATCCTCTTCCATTCATTCATTTTTTACACTAGTTTCCATGTTTTCCACATTCAGCCATCATTGTAATGGATGTTGAAGGTGGCCTACATTGGAATAATAATAAATCTGTTCCTCTGAATACCTTAGACAATAGCAGAGCCCTGGCCTTTACGGAGTTGCAGAGACAGGCTCAGAGTGTGCCGAGAGCCCTCTATTTTTAATTGGTCTCCAACACACCATTGTTAAGGCGTAAGAGACAGAGGGAAAAAAGAAAGGGGGTGAGAGAAAACACCCCTTGTGCATCACCATCACATTATCGCAGCACTAACACAGTGTCATTATAATTTGCTCTTAGTCTCACTGCTAATTAGCTTGTCATGGTGCAGCAGGTCCTTCAGAGCATGTGGTCATCTGGCTCTGAGAGCAGGGGAGGGCAGTCAGGGGCCTGTGTCGTTTCCACTTTGGTTAGACGGTGACAGCGGTGTGATGAGGTGTTGTCTTTTTGTCGCTGGAAATATTCCTATCTCCTATTTTGTAGCGCTCAATGATGAGGAAGGAAAATAAATGTTGTGTTTGGGTTCACTGACCCAAATCAAGTTAGTTTGTGGAACTCAAATTTGCGGACAGGAATTTCACATCCGCACCACTTAAGTGCAGGATTTAAGGAGACATTTTCCACTAATGGTCGGACTTCTGTGAAGTAATTAAATGTTTATGTCCTTGTTAAACCAGATGTGACTTCACACACGTTTTACCAATTGCTTTTTTCATATTTCACTAAATGTAAAAAAGTACAAATACTGCTTGAGGGAATCTGATATTTTCATCTATCAGCACCAACAAAAAGCGGTGTTGTCCAAATTTCCCCGATAAGAAACACTGTCCGAAGATGAAAGAACCCGTGAGTAGCCTGTATTAAACACTGAGGAGAGATGTGGTGCATCTTTGTCATTGTACCATGAGCTGCAACTGCACAATTCATCAAGCGAATATTAGTGCTGGTTCACGTCGCACCAAGGGTCTCAGATGCCTCAAAGGGGAAAAACAAAACTGGTTTGAACACTCGAGCAGATGGCTGGATGTTATTAAAGAGACCTTTGAGCCTTCATATAAGACTACCTGATTGAGGTTGGGGAAAAAAGTGTCTAAGCTCATCCTGACCTTCTTCAAGTTCTGTCCACAGCTTCCAGCTTGTCCTCTGAAAGCGTTGGAATCTGCAAACAGACAAGCTGAATAATATTATCATGGGATGAAGAACCTACACCCACTTCCCTCAGTTTTACTTGTCGGGCCATTGTAAAAGATAATGTCGAAAGATAGATGTGGTGCTTCAAGGTGGGTGATTCACCGCCGGAAACTGCTAATCAAACACACCCATCCTCGGCAATTGCCGCCCATAAGTCTGAGAGGGGGTCACGAGGTCCTTTGCAAGCCATTTTGAGTCCATCGTTGTGCGCTGAAAATGATTTTCACAAGTGGGAAGCAGTCAGCGGGGGTTAACAATCTTCCCTGAAGTGGATGTCCCGGCGGTTTAACCCCGTCGTCTGGTGCAGCGCTCAGAGAAAAACTGCAAAACTCCAGAAGCAGATTGGCTGAATGGAGAAAAAAAAAATCAACATGTTGCAGCGGTCGAGTCGAGGTCCAGACTTTGGCCCGATTGACAGGCTGTGGCGGGAGCTTCGCGGGAAAAAATACCTCCAATCCTCAATGGACGTTTGGGGAAAAAATTTCTCCACAAACCTCTCAAGTGATTACTTGAAGCTGGTGCTGCTGGAGGTTTGTTCTGTAGGTCATTTAATCTCTGGGTGAGCTCAGTGTTTCACACCTTGCCTTAACATTTTAGCTTCTTTTTTATTCAGTCATTAATCAGACAGTGGAAGATGTCATTGATGTTGTTCCCTGTCGAGGAAATTGTATATTTAAAAAGAACCACGCCCGTTTTAGAAACGCAGCAAAAAATAAACTAACTGTTGAGCTGCTCTTCCAGTTTAAAAGGTCACACACAGAACACACACACAGTCTTTTGCATGGTTGTTTGTCCAGATAACACAGCACCCCCAGCATCGCTCTGTGACCCAAAACTCACCAGACGTCGCCCCGTTTTTCTCTGTTTCCCCCGACGATCCGAAGCATGTGAAGATGGTTTAAAACAACAACCGCCTGCACCTGACAAACAGAGGCCGGGGAGACCGACTTTATGCCATCGCGACTTCCTGCTCCTCCTCCTCCTCCTCTCCTGCTCCCTTGCCTCCTGTTTCATTGTGTAAACATGACAGAGCCACCGACTCATTATCCGGAGCTAGAGACAGATGGAATTGGTGAGCGTTACGAGAGCAACACAACAAGACAAGTGGGCAAGCTCGAGTCATTGATGGAACAAATAGGGCTCTGTGAGAGGCTGTCTGGCTGACACACTCTGCAAACCAAGCCCGCTTATTTAGTTGACGCCATTCACCCGTTTTAAGAGCATATCGGAGTGGAGCGCCACATGTTAAACGTAATGGCTGAGATTTCGCTCTTTCCCGAAGCTGCTGCGGGCGCCTTCTAGCCATCAGCAGACTATCAAAAAATGTATTTCATCTTAGATTAAATCTCTCTTGGCGAAGTGTCAAAGCCGTTACAATTGGTGCCATCTCATTACAGACGCCGAGCTAAATAAGATGATGACAAATAGAATGTGTTCTGCATCTCCTTGAAAGTTTGCCAGTATAATAATTCTCACTTGTGTTTTATTGGCAAGAGGGTAGAGAATTAGATTAACCTTTCATATTGAAGCAAGGCGATAAAATCTAAATGGGGCTTTCTTGGCAAATAGATTTTAGCTTATTGATTTCTCATTTTTTCCCTTCCGTCTGTCATCGAGGGGAAATGCTCTTCTCAAATATCCAGTTTTTTCTAGTCTCTCTACTGTACGTCTTTGTGTATTGATGGATGGTAATGATGACATGGTTTCAATCAGTCCAGAGATAATAGCTTTTTCTCATCAAAGGTCAGAGGCTCAAATAGAGAACAGCCATTTTCTTGTCCTCTGCGCACTTTTATCAGATTAGTCTTTCATTTGGTTGCTGTTGAACCTCAGAACCCAGTTGCTGGTATCATTATTGTCTGGGAAAGGTTTGCTTTGTTTGTAACCACATGCCTTTAAACGCCCACAATTCTGTTTACCGAAATTCTATTTGCCTGCCAAGGAAACCACTTAACTCATGATCTTCTCCTTTTGTTGATGCGTTCAGGGTCAGCCTTCATGATGGTGAACACATCGGGGCGCTTCGCGGGGCAGAGGGCTTTGCTGTTGACGCCTCAGCTGAAGGAAAACGACACGCACTGTGTCATATTCAACTACTACATAGGAGGAAGAGACAACAGCCACCCGGGTCACCTGAATGTCTATATCAAAGAAAACAACAGCCCCATGGGGATGCCGATTTGGAATGTGTCGGGCCCGGCCTCTCGCTCTTGGGGGCAGGTGGAGCTGGCCATCAGCACCTACTGGCCCAACTTCTACCAGGTAAGCAACGTTAAATGGCATCAGGCCATCTTTTGTTCAACTTCCCGAAGGAAGTGGGCTGCCCATTGTAAGCAAACTCTATAGTCCAGCAAAAAGTCATTAAAGCCTTTTCATTGGGTGGAACAGGACAAATTTATTATCTGAGAAATTCTAAACAATTACACAATGGCCCATTCAAAACACCTGAGATTATTGATTTTACCGGCCCCGGTATCCATGGTGATCTGTTCTCTCGTCCTTCCATCTGAGCCGGCTTCTTTTTTCCAATTCTGAAAACTCATTTTCACTTACCAATGCACATGACTGCTGGCTGGGGCAAGGTGATTTCACACTCGCCTGGCTATTAGTCTGCAGCAGCTTGTTTCACGAGTCCCCCAAATGTTAATTTATGCAGGGAGACCCCTGAACCTCCCTGTGGGATTGGGTCTTTTGGCGCATTTTTTCATTATGGCTCGGTAAAACTGAGGGGAGTCCTCCTGCCTGCTCATCGTAGCCGCTCTGATAACTTAGTTAACAAGGCACACCACGGAGAATCTGGCTGCTGAAATGTGGATGGAAGGTTTAATGAGAGAGCAGTGACAAAAAAAGGGGAAAGGAGAATTGGATAGCAACAGTAACAGTCAATACTAACTGTTGACAAGAGGAACCCTTTTCTGAGATCACGCAAAGCTGATTTGATTAGATGTTTTCAGATTAGTTTTAAAAAATCTAACAACTAACCATTCTTTTAAAGCCCAGCTTGTCAATCAGAACTGTTGTCTACAGTTTTTAGTACTTTGACCATTACGATGAACCAGTCAAGTAACATGAATTTTTGACAAGTTGGCGTTAAGAAGTCGCTGCGTGAAAAGGTCGGATATCACACCCACGATGACAGACGTCCTACTTTTCTGCATGTTCAGGGAAATTCCCAGCATCTGTTGCCTTTCAAACCCCAAGTGGAGGGCCTGCCTATTGTAATTGTTCGAGACCCAAATTGACATTATGAGTAAATGTGAGGATGCTAATGATCTTAGCAACAATCTGTCATGTAAGGGGGCCATTGCTTGAAATTATCACTAATTAAGAACATGGCACTAATTATAGGTGTCTTTAATTGCATAGCAACCTACGAAATTGTCTAAGGGAAGCCACCTGATACATGGAAATTATTTTTTAATTACCGGTATGGCTTTTAGTCATCATTCCAGCCGTTCTGCCTTTGATAATTACTCCTCTGTCAAGCTATCTCTAGAACTTTTTAATTGAGATTGTGAGGTCTTTTTCAAAATGCTTGAAGATTTACCTGAAAATGATAAAATAGATAATCCAAGTCTGTTGTGCAAACACTATTCAAATGATGCACAGTGGGATTAAATCCTGAATGTGGAGGTCTGTCTCAGTTCTGATCCAGTAGAGTACACAGCGGGGCTAATCAATCCTGCTGTAATGCTGTACTTAACAAACTCCCAGAGGGATCACTAGTGCTGTGATGTGGACGCCCAACGCTGGGCTCGTTGTCCATCTCGCTGACAAATGAGAAGAATGAACTTTCCGGTGACATCAACAGCCTTGCCCCATGTGAATATTTTTCGCTGTGTGGGTCAGACCCAATTATGCACTGCACTGCCATTGATGTTCGAATCAATTATATCACAGCTATTAGACCGGCTGACTGATGTCTGTTGCACAAACAAAGGATTTCAATTAGAGTGTGGGGGGCAGTTCATTTGTCTGGTGGCAATATATGGAGAGGTTGGCCTTTTAATTTCCTTTAAATTATCCCGTAATGAGGCCATAATTGGCACCCAAGACATTCGCTTTCATATTTCGCGAGACAAAAAAAGACATTTATAATTAGCAAACCCTATCTGATGGCATCCTGCCTCCCAGATGACAATGGTAACTATGTGGAGCTCCTCCTCCACATTCCTAAGGTGCAAAAGGAATCTCTGAGATGTATCTTTGTGCAGCCAGCAGGCAAGAGTTTAGTAGGTAACGCCATATGTGGGATATAACCATTAATATATACAGGATGCTGGATGGTGCAGGTTTATATTTTAAGGATAAAGCTATGCAGAACATGTGTAGCAGGAGCACGTGTGGTGTATTGGGTCTCTGCACCACACCCTGGGTTTTGGAAGGGACTGGCATTCTGTTTCCCTTTTTATCACAGTGCAGACCGAGAAGCACATAACTCCAGCATTCTGCCGGAACACGCCCTCCCTCTGAGCTGAGCACCATTTGTTTTTCAAGAGAACTTGGCCCCTTAAAATAGGGTCAAGTAAGTTATGCACAGCACAGTTGCACGTAATTTTTAAAAAAATCTCTCGTGAGGAAGGGCGACAAAAATGTGTCAACTAAGTAACATGAGACACAGAGTAAGTGTTACATTCAACAGTTTCTTCTCGTGGAAGAGAGGTTATTGACATTCATCTTTTTTCAAGTCTGAGTTATTTACTTTATCCAACAGTTGAACAGTTATTGAAGGGATTTTTCAATACAGCTCAAATTTGCTAATAATTACCGGTGAATCTGTGCACAATCCAAAGTGCATGTTGTTGTTTTTTTTTTTTTTTTTGGGAGATTATCACCAAATTTCAACAAAAATCTAAACTTTTCACAATCACACAAAGTTTTTTATGGGGTTGGAAAAGGTTGGTGAAACTTAATCTTGGATATGGATCCGTAGTTTGGATAACTTTATATTGTATTGTTTTCAACCTGACATCATTCTTTCTTTTAATGATTCTGTTCAGACAGAGGCCAGGGAAATTTGGGAAACATGACCTTTTGGCTTTGCTTCTCACCTCCCATGCTCTGTGTTTGTCACACGCTGCGTGCTAATCGTCTCAAGGCTCAAACCTAATTTCACACTTGCATGTCATAACACCTGTCAGCGGTGACATATTGTGGAAATAATGTCAGTAGCCTGCAGCTGTGTCACCAGCTGCAGCCCGGCGAAGGGACTGAGAGTGTTAGCCGGAGCTGGACTCTGCACACGCCTAGCTGCACTCAGGTGCCTTTTGAAGACATGTGCCCATTTATCACTGATGTTATGAGTCTCCTTTCTCCTCCTCAGATTGTGTTTGAAGCTGTAACCTCAGGGCAACGCGGCTTGCTGGCCATCAAAGACGTCGTGGTTCAGGGCCATCAGTGCAGTAAGTCTATTTTCCCGTCACCATAAAAGAATATCATCAAACCGTCATTGTCCTTTTCATGACACCCTTCCAAATACCTGTGTCATTGTTCTGCTCAAGGCCTCCAAGTCAAACAAAAGTCCTTCAAATAATATGCTACGGACAATCCAGGTGTGAGCCCCCCCCACTTTCTTTTTTTCCTAAAGATTTATGAGCATATAGTTGACATGCTGAAGTGTGCCCAGGATTTAATGTTGGACTGCCACTGTTAAATCTGTCCTTTGAGAGATGGCACAAGAACTGCAAAAAAACAAGCCACTGAAAAACAAACCCTGCCTTCTCAAGATGGGATTTGACCGTTTTTTTTTCCCTCCTCCCCAAAGAATATTCAGGGAAGTGTCTCATCAACATCTGTTCGGAGTTCTTCTAGCCTTTCCGAATCAGTGCAAGCACTTCAGAGGGCCCTACAGAAGTAATGAACATGTAATTACTGCCACATTTATAATTTTCCTGCATCTTCTGTTGGGATAAGCTGCGGTTGTGGGAGTGGAGGGGGAGATGCCTCTTTAGTATTCTTCATGTTTTTTTTCTTTTGAGCACAGAGAGTCATGTCAGCTCATATGGCAACCCTCAAGTTAATACTGAGAGGGTTTCACACCCTCCACTCTGAAGTCGAAATCAATCCCACGCAAGTTCTCATCAATTGATTTATACTTTACTCTGCCCCTCATAGCTGAAGTATAAGGCTGTGATTGTTAGCCGCTAATGACCTGCTAACCATTTGAAAGCAGCTGAATTCCTACAAATGTTATGTCAATAAGATGGATTTATATAGCAGTACGTGCAGCATATAAATGTATTTGAGGAAATCGATGAAGCCTCACGACGTGGTCAGTGTTTAAATGTGTACGTGCGAGTGGATCAATAATCCACTCAGTGGCAATTGGGCCTCTCTGAGTGATAAGCAAAGTGATGAGAGACTCCTCAGTAGAGAATGATCATTCATTATCTTTTTATATAACTATGTGGAATATCTAGTTCAAAGGTGTGATTATGCCCCTGGGTGGTCTTCTTTCCTCCCACCATGAAAGAAGACATGAGAAAAATACATTTGTCTCTTTGTCACCAGATAGATTGACAGGAAAAAAAAGTTAGAAAAGAGCCGCAGTTCAAAGGCAAGGTTAAGAAATATGAGGTAAGATTGAAATAATGAAAATGATAGAATTAGCTTTTGACAAGTCTTCAGAGATTCAGTTGTGTTTCAAATCAAGGTCGCTCCACTGAATTGCCCTATTTTGCTTTGTAGAATAGCAGCGCCAATCAGAAATGTTCTAAATAAGCTACTTTCCTGGACCCTCTCGGTTGGTGAACGCAATGATAATTAGTTCAAATGGAAAAGAGAAAAACGCTCAATGAAAACTGCTCTCCATCATTGAAAGAATTCTCTAGAGGCACAATGAGAAGGAGGTTTGGGTAGGTGCCCTCTGGCCTCTAATTTTTAGTGATTTGGATGTAATATCCCTGCATGAATGCAGAGAGACTTCATTAATTGAAACGTTCAGCTGAACTTCCCTCATATCACCAGATCTGCATTAAATTCTTTAGGGAAAAAGGAGTGGGCAGCAGACTAAATTGTGTGGCACAGGAACATAAATTAGCTAAGCTCAAAATGGCAACTTTACATCTGACACTTAAGTGAAGAGACATTTCATCTGAAAACCGTTCTTTGTATTTGTAGTGAATACTCCACACTTCCTGACAATAAAAGGAGTGGAGGTCAATGCTGGACAGACGGCATCTTTTCACTGCACCGTCAATGGACGTAAGAAGGACAACTTTCGCCTCTGGCTTCAGGTGGGAAACATTTTATTTTTACACCCTTTTGTGGAGTTTGTGGATTGTTGAGCTGAATTCACTGGAGATCATTTACTGTGGAACTGACCCTTTGTGGAAAAATGTGATGTAATGATCCAAGGTATTAGGTAAATTTTCAGGTTTTTTAAATTCTGGTGGTTTATAGGCTGCATGTTCATATTTGTCAAAAACGTACATTAATCTGGATACAAATCTGCCTGTTAAGGTGAGTGTGTATTTCATGATAAGTGTTAGTTGAATTGTATAAGAATGAAAGCCATATATTGAACAATGCTACTCTTCAGACATCTGAGATTACTTATAATACACCAATTTGTTATAAGTTGTAGTGAATTTATTATTACAAGTTTGAACTCTTATATCAAATGCTGTGATGAGTTTAATGTACTGTGATTTAACACTTAATTTTAACACTTTAACACTTCACAGTAATACACTGTGCCTGCAGTAACAAAATACTAAGTAAATATTCCTTTCTTTGAGTCTCATAGTACATCACCTTATTTTATTCTATTTAGAGGCCAAAGCTGCCTCCTATCCCCTTTTGAAACTCATGCACAGGAAACACTGTCTGCCTTTTCAAATTTGCTCAGTGAGTCATTTCAATTTGAAGAATTCCCACATTGTCTCGCGTTGCCCTTGTGGTGGAGATTTCACCTGCTCGCCAGATTCCCAGCGGCCTCTGCAGCTGGGATGCAGGGGGGATACACTTGTTTCAGATCGCCGCAGTATGGTCTTAACCTATATAGACGTTGGCTCCGTGTGGATACTGACTACTATATCCGGCACAGCGGAGCTGCGCAGCAGTCTTGAGTTGACCTTGTTCTAAACAGGAAAGGTAGTGCATCTGGCAAACATAACCCTGCTGGCTCCCGCCGCTAAGCACACTGTCACACGTGTGATCGGTTGGAGCGTGATGCTGGGTAAAGGTCCTCTGCCAGGTACTCCATCATTTTAACAAACACGTCCTCATTAGCACAGGATCTGGAAAACAAACATTAAGTGAAGTCCCACGATGACAGTAATGAAGAAATATTTCTAATGAACAAATGTCCCCCATCTGCCTGCTGTGAGGGGTGACAGCTGGGGAGAGCCCGCAGTGTGTGTGTGTGTGTGTCTGTCTGTGTGTGTGTGTGTGCGAGTGCGCGCCGGTGTAATAAATGTATTCCAGCCACCGATGGGACACAAACAAACAAGCACGAGCAGATGACAAGCACACTGAACTCCAGTTTCTGAAAAAAAGCACACAAGGTCAGGCCACTTTGCTTATTAAACCTTTCCATTTTAGAGACTCACTTGTGTTTGTCTCTGTTCCAAACAGGGCATGGGTGGACGGGAGGCCCCGATGAAAGCGACTAAACCTTGGAACAACCGGCGCTTCATAGGCACTTTCGATGTGGAGAACACAACCAAGGGCGACTCGGGCCGTTACCGCTGCATTGTCCACTCAGACAAAGGAGTTGGAGTGTCCAATTATGGCGAGCTAACCATAAAACGTAAGTTTTTTTTGTCCTGCGGCAGAAAAATAAAGCACACGGATAGCCATCTTTGACAGAAAAACTGTATAGAGAGCAGAAATGTTTTTCCCAAGCACATCACCTTCACGATTCCAGCGACGTTACCAGAAGATAAACGCATCACTCTGCATGTTTTCAGGCTATTTTCAGCTGTCCAAACGGAAAACAGAGGCCTTTCACGCTGATTTGTTTTCCACAGCACTTTAATACGTCTTCCATAAAGGACTGTCCTTGAATGAGCACAATTCCACCTACAAGATCACAAAGAAAAGAGGCAGCGGGCTATACAGTGACCCTACTGATATTTTACTCCTGTAGTCATTTGATATGAATTTATGGAGTCGTCCAAAACTAAATCCTGCAAGGCCTCTCTTTCCAATAGCCCTATAGCCCGGTAATGGCCCTCTATATTTCTTCACCACAATTTTCTCCCAGTGCTCTCAATTGAATTTACTGCCCCGATTTTTTTCCCACCCCTTTTTTTTCTTTTTCTTTTTTGGGCTCTGAGCTTTTATGTGATTGATAGGTTTAATCCTGTCTGTCCAGATCGAGGTCTGTCAATCATGTGAGAACGGCTGGGCCCAGACACAGCGGCGTGCACGAGGCTGATAAAGTCTCTCTGCCCGAGTGTATCAGTGAGTTTCAGCGGTGTACTCAGAGAGAATTTACTGACACACTGGAGGCACTCAAAACTACGCTCCTGCATAAATTCACCAACAGAATCACCCGCGCGTCCACACACTCGCACGCGGGGACAGCAGCTTTTTTGCTGATCGCTGCTTTCAGAGTTGCCAGATATATTTCCACACCAGACAGATCAGTAAAGGCTAAAGTGCTTTTGTCATAAATATTTAAAATGCGGTAATTTTCTCCGTTGGGGGCTTGTATCAAATCTTGTAGCTCATCACAATTTAAAATTCTACGCTGATTTCACAGCTCAATGACTTTGATGTGAGGCAACTTGTTGGAAGGAGAGAAAAAAGGCGTTTTCACACTTATAAGTGTCGCACATAAAAAGCTGATATCTCCCCTTATCGTCCCAGCCATAAAACAAGTGCTTAACCCTCCCAGCAAAGAGTCGGAGTTGTAAATCCTCCTTAAATATGTGTTCACCACATCACTGACTTGCTTTTGGAGGAGTGAGTGTGGAGCCGCTCTCTGGATTATGAGCCTGCTACAGACCCCCCCCCCCAGCCCCACCCCCTCTCCCCGTACCCCATCCTTCATTATCACATTATCATACACTGCCTTTTTCTTTAACGTGAGCACAGTGAATGCTTGATTATCCCGGATAATCACTTGCGCCTTTTCGTGCCAATGTTCCTTCAGATTTATGTGCCCATGTGGAAGTGTGCCGCGTGCGTTTCCACACTGCTGTACATACTGGAACCCGCCACCCTCCCCCTGTTTTGATGAGGCTCTTCCTGCTGGACCAGTGAGCCAGTGGTTTTTGAAAAGGAGGACAATTACTCCCTGTCCGAGCGCTGGCTCTTTTCGTGGCCTGGTTAGAATCACCTGGTGAGCTCTCACATTGCATTCTGGGCCATGCTGCCAACCCAAGGATGTCCAGGTTGCAGCCGTGTCAGCACTAATGAGAATAGCCACCAAAAAAAAATCGAAGGGAGGGCCGGTCGAGCCCCCCCCCCCCCCTTTTCCTGTGGCCACCTCTCCTCATATCGGGAGCAGATCGATCCCCTTACTCACGGCAGCCCAATTAGGAAAGCGCACAACATAATGAGGACCTCTTGCATCTTAACAAGAGAGGCTCAGCGGACATAACGGGCAACTGAGAGATGGATTTATAAACAGTGAAGTCTAACTAAGCCAACAACAGAGCTGAGTGGCAGCTCCTATTATTGCTCTCTGTGCTCTGTGTGATGAAAGGGCTGTGCGCCCGCACCCGTATATTTGTGTAATGCATGTGCGGCTTTGAAATGATTAGCAGATTAATCTGTTTACAGATCTGTTCAATCATCTAAGTGATTAATTAAGAAGAAAAAAAATTGCCAGCGATTGTCTCGTTCCGGCTTCGAATTTGCGGTGTTGTTTTTTTGTGGTTCGCGAATGCAAATTGAATAAAACGACTGAAGATTAGTCACCAACAAGAGGCCGTCTGAGCAATGCTAATTAAAAATGACCCTGCATGCGAGTCTTGCAATTTGAACCAGTTTGTCAGTTCTCCCTGAGTGAATTTGCGTGGATGCACGTGCCAGTATTAGAGTGTTCATGGGAAAAAAAAAATGTTTTAAAAAGCCTGTGATGATTGGGCAGGCGCTGTGGTCAAGCTGGACCCAGCTGTCTGCCTCTCCGGTCAGCATCATGGCGGCAGCTGCTCGCTGCCCCCCCCCCCCCCACTCCCCCCCCTCCCCCCGTGCCCCCTCAACCATTTCCAGGGAGCACAGAACTGTGTTGTGAGCACAGAACCCCAACCCCCCCCCCCTACAACGGCAGCGCTCCTGTGCCAGGCTTAAACACGGTTAATATCCCGAAGTGTTCCAGAACTTGAGTGTATTTCACACCGGTAATCAGCGATTTGCAGTCTGCATCTGCTGCGGCTGTTGAGCAGAGGATTACGGCACCTACAGGAATTATTTCATCACCAAGCTGCTAAGCTGCTGTTGCTTTTGTGAAGCGGCAACTTTTCATAGTAAAATGAAATGCTTATTTGCTGTAATACATCAGAGGGCTTAGCTGGGCTGTTTCAGAGGAGATCTCAGGCGATAACGTCAGGAACAGGCCTCAACATCAACACCGGCATCCGGTGAATTAGAAGGATGAGCGTTTTTCTGCTGATAGGTGATGACTGAGGTGCCTTTTTTCTGGTGAAATGCAGCCGTCTGGTTTTGAATTAGTGTTATTTGGTTCTATTTTGTGTCGCGTGGCCTCTTTTTCTAACCAGTCGTGACTGGAGCATCAACAACTTTGTCAGAGCTTCAAAAGCCATTTGTTCTCATGTGTCATAAAGCGTTTTAGAAAAATGAGTGTGCTGGCAAATGTGTCAAAAAAATCTGGTGTCTGATTCATTATACTTGCTTACTTGGTGGTAGGAGTATGTTGATTACTTTTTGCATCCCTGAGTCACGGTTTCAGTTTTTCTTGAGTAAAATCAGCTTCTTTAATAAAAGGGAGCGTTAATAACGAAGAAAATATGTGGTGTAGTGTCTTTTTCTGGGGGAAAAATGTGTTTGTTTTTTTTCGATCTCGTCGTCTAGTCCATTAAACAGGACATCATAATGACCAAATCAATATGTTTGTTTGTGTCATACTAGATATTTACAAGATACTTTTAGCGTGTTAGTCTGCAGTGTTTGAGCATCTTAATGCAGCTTAACCCCTTTGAAGACAAAACAGACCATAAAAGCCCATCAGAACAAGTCATCTGTTGAATGCAGATTTTGGATCACCTCATTTTGCTGTCTGCCTCCAACATATAAAGTCTTGCTTTGCACATAAGTACAGAAAAGAACCTGTTGGATTAGCTGGTTCACTTTAGGTGATGTTTGTCGGCAACACTGAAAGCCTGGATTAGAGGGAGTTTACGGATGTGAGACCGGAGGCCAAAGTGGGGTAACCATCTGCCGTGCGAGAGCAATTCTGTATTGGTCACCTCAGTCCACTTCTTATTTACCCAAAGCCTTTGCCCTCTTCTTGACAACTCAGATGCAGCCAAGCGACTAATGGTATTATTCTTTTTCTAGTGTGCTCATTATAGCATTTCATCTCGCAGCTTTTGTATGTGGCGGCGGTAAATTCTTTAGCAGCTGCCGGTCATAACCCCTGTTTATTATGCCGGGATTTCAGCTACAACAGGGTGCTTTTTCTAGACTTGCCTTAATGTACATCTTTGCGAGAGGGCGTGTTAGTTTAGTTGCCAGATAAAAGGTTATCTGGATGCAATGGAGTCTGTAAAGCATTAAATGCATATACAGGACATTTGTGTTACTCTTTCTATGTAAAAGACATAAAACTGAAGCAATCTTAAGAAGATTTTCACAGTCTTGTAAATGTCACAGGAGCCTCTCCTCGCCTGGCTATTCTCTATGAAAAAAAAGGTAGAAAATGAAAATATCCCGAGGTTGAAATAGCTTGTTTGACATTTGAAGAAGCCTCATTAAACCAGAAATGGCACAAGGTTTAAGCGAAGATTAGATAAATATTGGTGACATCACGGAGAAAAGGTTATATTTAAGGTTTTCTTTAAACACATTTGTCTGAAACAGTAAAACTTGCACTGAATAAGAACTCTATGAGGTATTTCTGTTGCACTCCAAGTAGAACCACTGATATTGAGAGGGTCCAGAAATAGATGGTTTTCACCTCTTAGTCACCGTGTGAACACTTCAGACTGTTTAAAAGTTTGATTAGTACAAAGCCAACATGGTCTGTTCTGGAAAGTTCGATACTGACAAATATTTATTTGAGGATATACACTGTTACTAAAGATTTCATCGATGGCTTTTAGACCTAACGTTAATCAATAAATAGCCCACAAAGTAATTGACAGAGAGAAGAGAATGAGACCAGAGTTAACATCGCTTTCTTTTCCAGAGAATTCTGCTATTGGTTAAGACTTTCCTGGTCTAAGATCATATGTTGTCAAATTGTATCAAATGTGTTTATCTCTAAACATCTTTAACTACAGAAGTTGGTCAAATGAATCCAAAAATAATTAAATAATAAAAATGCATTTTAAAGCTGGATTTGAAACTGTTATGAGCTCCTTGGTTATTTCAAAGTGGAGACGCAGCTTTGGGAAAACAACTAATGTAATTTATGCTTTAAGACAGTCAATAGCAACGGATCTTGGTAATCTCTAGGAAGAGTAAAGAAATTGCTCTATTTATGTAATAACCTGGGAGCCAAAGCAAAGAAGCCAAGTGAGCTGTCTTTCTTGAGATAATTTTTTGAATAAATTTCACTGGGACTATATTTAAGTCACTTTAAGGTTTGCTTAAGTAATGTAAACAGGTAGATCAGCCTCTATATTAAAACCACTCATCCTCATGTTCATATTGTATTGGTCCACTTTGTGAGTTGGGGCCTTTGCAGATTATTCCTGTTTTGGGGCATTGCGTGCTTGCACTGTGTCAAATATCTTGCATAATAGCTATACTAATAGTAAAATGCCATGGTAAAAAAATGTTTGGGTGCCATTATTTCAATTGTGGTCAGGCCTCCAGCCTCCATGAATGTGTAAGGAGAGGCAGTTATGCAGTTCCAGCTATGTGGAGATGGAGCCCAAAAAACACATTCTGGTGTTTCTGAAATCAGAAGGTGTTGTATTCCACTGATTGGCTGTGGCAAAGCAAAATGTGAGGCACTTTTCTTTTCTTTTTTTTCCTAACCTTTTGCAGAGTTGCTTCAAACTGGAGTGCAGCAACCACTCACATGCAATCCAAAAGACCCTTGAGTGTGCGGGTTGACTGTTCCGTCGGCCCTTTTCATCATTAAATGAAATGAAAAAATTAATAAAGCAGCAGTCGTGAGTTGACAAATTAAACCGACATTTGCACCGACAAGAGGGGCGACAACCACAGCAGCTGTCAATTGCCAGAAGTGTTTCAATAGGACTCTTTTAATTGAAATCAATAGATAGTTTAATGAGAGCAGTGTTTGCCAAGGTCTGGACCGGCTTTATTTACACCTCCGTTTGAAGTTGAAATGGCTTTTAAACCATGTGTGATTACATGAATCTGTCTGTGTAGCACCGATGATGAGATTCATGATCTATTCTATTCATCAAGGTGGAACTATTGATTGGCTCAGTTTAAAAACCTCAATTATTAGAAAACTTTGAGACGCTTTTAGTTTTCTACATGAGAGCCGATTTGGCTCATCTTTAAACGTTGATATGTATTGATATGCTTCCACCTATAACTTTTTTTTCTTTTTCCTTAGAACCCCCGGTTCCCATTGCTCCTCCCCAGCTGACGGCTGTGGGAGCCACCTACCTTTGGATCCAGCTTAATGCCAACTCCATCAACGGAGACGGTCCAATAATTGACCGGGAGGTGGAGTACCGCACAGTGTCCGGTACCATGTACGACCTGCAGCCCGTGGACAAGACCACGCACAAGATCGGCCACCTCGATCCAGATACTGAGTACGAGATCAGCGTCCTGCTGACCAGACCCCTGGAGGGAGGCACCGGGGCTCCTGGACCACCTCTGAGGGCCAGGACCAAATGTGCAGGTGAGGCCTTCCGCTTACTGAAAAAGCTCCGGTCCTTTTTAAATCCCAAAGTTTAGTTCGGCTGATACATATTTGAGAGAATCCTTTTTTGTGACCTCTGTACTTTTGAATTTTTCTGCTACATTTCAAAATGTAGCTTTGATTTTGTCTTACAGTACTTTAATTTTGAATAACTAAAACCGCAGTCCCGTCATGTCTTAAACTTTTCATGACTTGTTTCGAGTTTGCAGCAGGCTCATTATGAACCTGTGGTTGGGTTACAACCCGGAGACAAAATGTGTTACCTTCCTGAATGAAAAAAAAAGGCTGTGTTTCCGCTGTATCAGCCCCGACAAGTGGGAAACACAGTAGTTTTGTTTCCCTCGGCGTGTTGCGCTCTATCAACACAACGAGTGTGTCATGAAGTCGTTAAGTTGAGGTTGAAACACAATCTTGTGTGAGAGTGGTCGGAGGAGTTCAAGAAGTCAGTTCATTTAGCGGGTTTTTCTACTGATTTTTGTCGTGACTGCCTTAAGCTTGTTGGGTTTAAGTTTAGAGCATTCCTAATAGTGAAAAAAAGGTTCTAATTTTTACAAAGTGCCCTTTAAACACAACGAGACTCCATTATTGCTTACGCCCCATTGTGTTTTCTCCTAAGCCTCATTTCTTTTGAAGTAAATAACCGAATCTCACAACTGCCCAGTTTCTATCATTGCCTGTTCACTTAGTGTTTATTTTCTTAGAGTAGACAAAAACCCTTGTGTTCTCTTTGTCCCTACATATGAGGTTTTTGCTGAATTACTGGCACGTTTCACCTGGAACAATTTGTTAGCTCCATAGTTTAAAACTGCCAAATCACATGGTTAACCTTATAACTACTCCTCTATTTTTCCTTCAGTTTTCATTCTATATGGTCTATAATTTTCTTAATTAATCAGCAACTCAGATTGATGTCATGTGTTAAGCGGAGTGGCAACTTAAATTTGGATCGTTATATTGCTGCTATGGGCAGTCAAACTCAAATGTTTACCCTCACACACACACACACACACACTTTGAGAATGCCTGATGATATTGTTCAAATTGCCCTTCTCAGAACATTAACCAGCTAAATCCCACCGCTGTACGACGATGCCAACTTGAGGGGGGCAAAACAAACCCGGGATCAGCAGTTTCCCTGGGCTTAATGCTGTTTGGAGTCCAGAGAAATGCTGATGGGAATGAGATTTCTTTTCCTCCTCTTTCCCTGCCAGGGTGTAGCCCTCCTCTCCCCACTGTGAAGGTCATGAGCTCATGCATTTTTAGTCGGGGCGATAGGGATGAATGGGCCTACCTGTGCTGCCCTCTGAGCCGGGCCCAGCCTCAGCAGGGGGGTCCTGCCCCTGCGCCACCCCGCCGGTCCCAGTCTGAGGGATTGATGGCCTTCCCTCCTGAAGTGTGTTTGAGGAAGCTCTTGATCTTGCTCGGCTCTCTGCTGGTCTTCCCCGCTGACAGGCCGGGCCTCAGCAGTGCTCCTAATTGAACGGTTAAGACTCACGGGGGCTGTCTGATACATCACTGTTGATACGGACTCACCACCGCCTGTCCTTGCGCCGCCGTCTGGAGGCTCTAATGAAAATATGTGGCCAGTTCGGAACACCGTCTCTCATGTAATTATTCGCAGGCATGGTTTTGGTCACTTTGCAAAATGAGCAATGCTGCGGATGACAAGCGGATGTTTTAATTCAATCTGCTGTAAAAATGGAAAATGTATAATGCGCGGACACCATCGGTTGTAGTCAGAGGTAGGAGGCAGACGGGCAGCCTTGAAAGGTTTTCTCTCCCATGAAGCACTTCCATTAGTCTGCTTGTGAACAACAAAGAATGTCTTATCCAAGGCTCTGTGATTGCTTCAGGGGTTATTTTATGACATTTGTGGGCTTGCAGAATGGTTCTTTTTAAAATTTACAACTAAAAATTCATGATTTTCCCCCCTTTCCTCCGATACTGACCGATGCTTTTGAGCCAGAAGAGGAAAGTAATTAAAAGTGCCTCCCCCGTCCATCTCACACTTGTGATTATGGGAAATTGTTTACCACTTGAGAGATCTCCATACTCTGTAATCACCGTTTGAGGCAAGACACTATATTATCAGGTGGTGCCTTGGGATCAGAGCATGGTTTTCTGATTTTCCGGCTCTATTGAGAAACCGTCTCTCACAGAGAGACCGTTCCCAGCCCACACAGACCAGGCAGATAAGCAGACCTTAAGCAAACGCTTTTAAGCAGTCTGACTTATAACTGAGATCTGTATGGAAAAGTGTGCCGAATCCTTATCTGCCTTGGGTAAAAAAAAAAAAAAAAAAGCTTAGCAAGTAATGACAGACTTTGTAACTCAAGTTATGCGGCACATGAAAAAATCACGAGGCACACATCTGCTGGTGTTATTTGTCAGTTAATCTATATCTAAATCAACTTTAATGTTTTGTTTTATTATAATAAAGCAGCTAGTTCAATTTCAATGGGCCAGAGAAGGATTTTTCCTCTTGTTATGACGCAGCAGAGATAATTTCATGCTCGTTGCCATGGTAGAAGGACAGTCTCTCCCAATCTGTCCCAGCCTGTCCTGTGTGTCTCATCTCCTCACCCTTTGGCCTCCGTGCGCCTTAAAAATGGCAACGCACGATGTCCATGCTGGGTCCAGGCACCTGCTCACATTTCCTGCCTCTGCCAGCTTCACATCTCCATCTATAAGTTCTCTCCATCTGCGCCCCGCCGCCACGTGGGAGTTGTCTCATCTGTTTGTTTTCTCGTCGCCATTCTGTTGCACGCTAGAGTGCTATTAAACACGAGAGAATCGGTGCTAATCAGGGATCAGCCCTCTCTTAAACAATCATGTAACAACGGTGGAGAGGAGGGAGGAGCTGCAGAATTATTCTCCTCCTCACCAAGGTTGAGTTATTTGCATCAAGCCTCCTGGTTAATTAGTTGAGGACCAGGTCTGTTTTCATGTAAATAAGACTGAGGCTAACAACAAGCAACCTGCATATGGTCACATTAACAGACTACCCCCCCAATCATGTTTCTCAGTGGCATTATTCTTAATGCATGAGCTATATGGAATGAAAGCTCTTCTCTGTAAGCCTGAAATATCAGTGGAACAATCATCTCCAAGGAATATCTGCAGTGCCCTGACCTCAAAGTGAATCACATAGAAAACTCGCTATTACATGACTAACCTGTGCAGTTAAATGTCTGCTGGTCCTATTCACCCAAATATATTCTTGCTTTTAAACCCTCCAAAGTAATAGCTAATGGTAAGTCTGATTTACGTTCGTTCCAATCTTCTTTTCTGCCATTGTTCAGCCGCCAGAGAGGTCTTTGAAAGGTGCAGTTTACAGAATGAAAGACTCTTTTCTTTCCGATGTATACTTAATATGTCAAGAGACCATCCACTTTGATAGACAAGATTTAATTACATGACTCAAAGACAATTTGGGCTAAGTACCAGTCATATAATATGTCAGTAAGAATTCACATTGATTCATAATCAGTTTTCAAGAATTTATCGTTTTTGGGGCAAAATTTGGTTGCATCTGGCAATTTCACAGGTCAGATATCACCTTGTTGAAAGCACAGTATCGCTGGGCTCTCCAGTTTTAATGTTGTGAAAGCACGGTTGTGATTGACCTTTCCTTCACAAAGGCTTATTGAGGTGAGAATGAATCCACTGAAAGACTGGATGAAATAGAACTGTATCGAAGCCGTCTTTAATTTCAAGGACAGTTATAACAGTTATCGACAGAACTGCGACAGAACTATGCAGACCCGTAGCCACCCATCATTCTTTTATATTCTGGCAAGGAATGCAGGAAATGGCTGCACCATTTCTGTTTTAACATTCAGCAATTATTATTGTATATAAAACAAAGAGTTTGTGCTATTCTGACGAGTTCCACAGTCAACAATTTTGGATGAGACGTTTACGATTTACATCAGCCTGTGAACCCTATAAGGTGGGTTTTTTTTTTAGAACAATTCTCTCGGTTTTCTTTTCAAACTTTGTGTTGTGACTCACTTGCACATGAGATTTTGCCGTCATGGTGGTATCTGTCTATCCTAAGTATTAGCATGGAAGAGAGTGGCAGTGCTGTAGCGATTTCAGCTCCTGCATGAGCAGACTGTTCCCAGAAAGCAGGACACAGGGGTTATGGCGTTCCTTAGTGTGAATGCTGGCTCGGATGATTAGTAGCTTTTGAAAAGCGATTTAAAAAAAAAAACTTGACTGTGCTATTTCTTTACAAACCTCCTGTCCAGACTAAACTTAAATTATAATCGTTAAACAGGACTTTGAATAAAATCCGAACCTTTCAAGCTAATTTAGTCCAATTTCATCCTGGATGTCAATGGACCTTTTAAATTCCCTTTTAGACATATTTCTAAAGAAAAGACAGAACAAAAAAAAAACTCAAAGTGCTTTAACTGTGGCTGAAGCACAGCCATTCTATGAAGGAAGTTTAGATTTACCTTCTTATTGTGAGTAAGTATTGTGAGTGTATTTTTGGGTTGGAGCGCAGACTAAGATTCAACTTTTAATCTAGGTTAAACCGGTAAAATGATCGATTATTGACCTCTAATTTCTATCTTATCAGTTTGAAGAGCTTCTGTCATGTCAGATTGCCTTCGGCAGATCTAATCCTGTATGACAGTTACTGGTTGGCTGAAGTCATGATTGAGGAGTCCTTTCTCTGAAAGCCTGAAAGGAAAGGAAATTGTTTTCTGTCCATGTGTCTAATTAATGATATTGTTGCCTTTAGCCATGAATAAAAAGCCACTTCACCCCACCATCTCAGATAACACTGCTCTGGTTTGTCACCCACAATAGCTGCCAGACATGTGACCTATAGGGTTTATATATTGCCTATTGCAAGGTGAATGAAAAGCCTTGGTTTGCAGCCCATTGAATTTGTGTTCTTTTGTCAGTCAGAGAAAACAGGGTAGATTGAGTTTGTGGCGTGCAGGAAGGTTATAGAAGACCACAATGAAAGTCCTTTTATCGCAGCCAGACTGAAGCAGAATGGCAAATTCTGTTCTATGAT